TCAAAACATAATGATTTTTAAAAAATATTTTCAAACTTAGCCTAGGAAAAATGGGGAGTAATTATTTAAGGGAGGGCAATTATTGTTTCGATCTCGCTGGAGGGGTTAAATAATAGAGGTTGGGTAATTATTTGAGGGATGGTAATAAATACAGTATATACGTTAATTTAAATTAAACCCGATTTTAATAATTCTTATACTGATCGAGATATCTGAATGTGTTAACTATTTTTCTCTAATCAGATCATCATATACAAGTTATAGCTAAGTAAAACTCTAAAATAACAATTGCGCTCACTTAATAGGCTGTATGATGAATTTTTATTTCGCTAAGGAAATGTGAATTTTCAGCGGCAATTCCCGTTCAAAAATACCCAGTACCCGACTGAAAATGTTATCTCAAAAAACCGGGAAAAAGATGGAAAATCGGGAAACTATTATGAGTTCCAATCAGGCCTGGGCGAAACTCCAAATTTTTTCGGACGAAACGAAACAAAAATTTTTTTAAATCTTTTAGTTAAAAAAACGAACAGTCAAAATCTAATTTAAGGTATGAGAATGCCCCCCCCCCTACCTCTAAGGTACGAGAAATTCTTTTTACATATTCTTCAAGAAATACCTTTCTTTGTTTGAAAGTAGATCCAATAATGTTGTACATTATACTTGAGGTAGTCAACATGTTTTTAGCGTATTTTTTGAATTTATTATTTACTGGTATATTTACATATGAATATGGAAAGGATTTTATTGTTTTTAATATTTCAAAAAGTAATTCAATAGGAATTGCCATATTATTATGTTCTTTTTTTTAAATTTTATAGTTACAGTCAACCTCACTTTTAAATAGAGTAGGTCGATGTCGAGGCCTCGCCGAGGTCTTCGCCCATTTTCAAACCTCGACCTCGATTTTGTTGACATCGGGTCTCGGAACCTTCTCGGTCCTCGCCAAGGACCGAAGCCCTAAAGATTGACTTTTTTGGCATAAATAGAAGTATTTTGGCCTATTGTTCTTAAGAAAATTCGAAATTTTTCCTGCGACGCTAGAAATTGACGATATAATAAGAGATTATCCTTGTGCATTGGAATTCAGTTTAGTTTTCTTGGAAGATTCTGGCTCTTAGCATCCCAAAATTTTCAAAATCTTCCCTCGCGGAGCTAATAAAAAATTTGGAGTTTTTCTGAGAATTATTTCCAAGATCCGCATCTAAACTGACGCTTGGGCTACCTCCTAATATGATAAAATTAAAAAGATGAATTTGATAACGATTTAGTGTATTTTTGATAAAATTTAATAAACTTAATTAGATATTGAAGTTTTATAAAAAAATTTAAGAACCTCGGTTATCCTCGAACCTCGGCCAAAATTTGCCCCTCGACTTGGAGCTCGGCTTTTCCAGCCTCGGTGATCTTCGGCCTCTGTTTCTTCAAAAAACCTCGACCTACTCTACTTTTAAATACACTTTAAGATGAAAAATTGTATCTTAGGTATCTTGAATAGCGTGTAACGCTTATTGTTAGACCGCTCTCCAAACCCTCAAAATTTCAAGAAAATGGTTTTTAAAATGAAGAAAATGCCTGACTTTGGGGTATATAAAAATAATATCTGACTAAAAATAAATTGTTGGAGATTGAATACTATATTAGAAAATTAATCTTTTTGAATGTTTAATTTTAATAATTTTTATTAGGGTTGTTCTCGACCAGTTTTAAAACCGAAAAGTTTGAAATTTTTTGCCAAAAATTAAATTTAAAAAACCGAAAATTTCTGAAAATGAGGATTTTATTAAAAATTCCCCCAAAATAAAACTAGTATTTGTCTAAAACTCAAAACCGGATTTTTAAAATTTGGATTAACCGAAAGCCGTGGGTACCGGTTAATAACCGGTAGTGAACCTCTAATACTTATGAAAAACAATCTCTACATTGATATTTACTATAAAAGTATATCAATCATCAACAATAAATATTAATTAGGTATATTTACTCTCAATTTTTTTATCTATTTAAGAATACATATTAAATGTGCATAACTTATTCATTCTTAAATACTACAATAAAATGGGTAGTTTTTCCTTCATTGTTTGACCTCTTCCTTTGTTAAGGTGTTTGACATTTATTAAGCCTTTGTTGTTTTATATTTATATAATGATGTTTGATTATTTATTTTTTTGTTCTTTCAACTAATTTAAATTATGAATATTTCTTTTTGTTCTATTTAATCCGCATTAAGTAGTTAAAAATACTTTTATGTACGAGTCGATTCGATTTGCTCGTACTCGTACTTGGCCTGTTTTATTTCCTCGTACTCGTACGCAGGTACGAGTACGAATTCTGGTACAAGCTCCAAACACTACATGAGACCAAGAGGAGTCTCATCTATTTCTCAATCTATTTAATCATCTCATCATCTCAAACAACCCCGCATTAATTTCAAAATTTATTTTAACAAAAAAATATTTAAACAAAATAAAGAGATTTAAAAAGAAAAACAAGCTAAGAATAACCTGAATAACGAGATTTAAAATATTTTTTTGGTTTTTTATCTATTTGTGTTGAAAATTCTGTAGTAATTCAACAGATTCCCCTCCCCATTCTTCCCTTTTATTCCAACCATTTTCTTTTTCTAATAATTGTCTATAACAACCAAGAATATGTTCAACAAACTTTAAAAATTATTTTTTAATATTCTAAACAAATTTTCTACCTCAATACATGCCAAATGAGCTAATGAAAGATGAAAATTTGGAGAACATAAACTGTAATTTGAGAAATAAACTTGAAAGTAATTAAAACTTTAAAGAGTAAACTTAAGTTCAAGCTTAAAATGATCTTTAAAAATTTCAAACTTAGTCTTAACTTGAATTTAAAAATAAATGTTTTACCTCAAACAATGAGTTGGAATTTCACGTTTAATTTGCAAAAATGAATTTATCGGCAAATTTGAATTACTATTAATTAAACTTGAAGAGGCACAACATTGGCCTACAGAAGTAATATTGTAGAAACGGGGAAAGCATTTAATAACACTTTAAAAAATATTTAAAATTAAATTTTGTTAAATTTCTCCTACTTTGTTAAGCTTAAAGGAGGACAACGACCCGATGACATTGCTTGTTTTATCTGTAATAGATGAAAGGATATTTATATTAAAATTTTGTTTCTTTCTAACCTGTTCTTTGCTTACATTCCTCGTACATAAAGGTCTATGGAAATTTAAATTTTTAAATTTCTTTTTAACAAAAATAATTACCGGCATCCAAAAGATTGTTCTTGGCAACATTCAAGTAATCCATCAAGTCTAGAATTATCCACAATAATTTCAGAAACTCCATCAATATGTACCCAACCATCCCTTCTATTCCCAGCTTTCTTTATTGGAGAATTATTATTATTTAATGGAACAACCTAAATAATTTTTTAATTAATTATTCTTTTAATTCTTCCAAACATTAAATTTTGGAGCTCTCACTAATGGACTTGTTTCTATATTTTCTTCTTGATTAAAAGGCATTTGAAGCAGACTGACACCATTCTGCTGTTTTACTGGATTTTCGAATTCTTCCTGTGCAAAAGATCCACCTCCTCCGATTGAAGTAGGGATTTCTTTGTGTTGTTGCTAAGATGTTATATTAAATAATTAATTTAAATTACTAGACGAGATTTTTAGTTATAAAATCCCTTTTTGCATTATTTTATTCTCGGGAAATCTTTCCCCAAAGGGAATTGGGGAAAAAGAAATCATGAATACCGTGATTAATTTATACAGCTAGAACCAAACTAATTTATTAAACAAAATATATGGATATTAGACTGAAGACTATTTACCTTTACTTTATTTTCTAATAATTTTTCATTCATTCCCTCTTCTTCCAATAAATTCCCTTCAATATCACCATTCTTTATTAATTTTTTAATTCCCAATTCTCGTCTATTAGGCCCCCCTCCTCCTCCTCTTCTTTGCCAATTTAATTTATCTTTTAGATTATTTTGTTTATTTAAAGGAGAATTATCAGTTGTTGAAGAAGTAATCGAATCAGTAAAGAATTCATCAATATCCGACCAATTTAAATTATTTTGGATTGGGGGAATTATTTCCTTAAAAATTTGAAAATTTAAACGTTAATGTGGCTAGAAGGATAAATTAACTTTAACATAACCGTTAATTCTCATTATCCCCCCATTGTTATATTTCTTCAATTAATTATTTCTATCTTTAATTTTCTGTCACTATTTAACCGTAAATATGTATATTTTTTAACAATTAAAAGGTTAAAAGGACCTTTGTACTGTTTGTATATTTTAAAGGTATTTTAATTCTTCTTCCAATCTGTTTTTGTCTAGTATTTATTTGCATTCTAACAGGAACAAGTCTTTGACCATTTTGTTGTCTTTTCTTTACTGGAAAGGGAACTAAACGGGGTGTTGATGTTGTTTTTCGATTATTTAGAGTTCGAAGACGAAATAATTTACGTAATAAAATGTTGTTATTTAAATTACTATAAAAAAGTTAAATAGAGGTTTTAAAAATCTTCTAAGAATTCTAAACTCACCCATTATTTAATAGTTTAGGTTTGGAGTAGAACAATGCTCCAGTATTTAGTTCCTCTGATCTATTTCTCTCTGATTTTTATTTAAAAAATTAAATATATATTTTTTTAATTATTGAAAACTCCGAAAATTGTTTAAGAATTTTCAAAGTAAGACTAGCAAAAATCGTAAGATTAAAATAAAAATTTTCTAAAAAATAATTTTTATTAAAAAACTACCATTTATTTTATTATTAAATTTTTGTTGACTTCTTCCAATAACAGCCCCATCAACAAGAAATCGAGCATTATTTCCTTTCTCCTCTTCTTTATTAATTTTATCATCTCTTAATGGCTTTTCTAAATCTTCTTTTAAAATTTTCGTTGAATTTTTAATTGAAATTCTAAAGAAATTTTTAATTATATTTAAATTAATTATAAAATTATGTGCCCCATTTTCTTGAATAATTAATTTTGGTAATTTTTTTCAATCTGCAACTAGAGGGGTATTTAATCTAAGGTGTACAATTATTCGAGTTTTGAGATTTCAACATGTGGTAGGGCATTTGAGTGAGGGTAATCGAGAAAAGGTATTAAAATATATAAATTAAGATTAGATATGGTAGTTGAAAAGAGAAAAATCAAAATAATTTTTGTAAAATAATTTAATTCCTTTACTATAATCAGAATATTTAAAATCAGAATTTTTTCCATTACCTATTTATTTCTTCTTCAATTATTTCCTCTTTATTAGAAGAAGAACCAGAATTTAACATTTTCACACCTTTCCTATTTTGAAAAAAATCTTTAGCTCTTTGCAGCCTCAATAATAAAAGGGAATATTGATGACTTTCTTCATCAGACATTTTCTGAAAAAAAATTCTTTAATTAAAAAATATTTTTTTATTAAATACTTTTCTGTCACAATTATTTCTTTGTAAAGAAAATTGACAAATTTCTGCTTGTATTTTAGCTGCCCCATTATTTAATCGAATTCCTTTTAAATCTAAAAAAATTATTAATTAAAAAAAGTTAATTTTTCTAACCTCTAAAATATTCATTTTCTTCCAACGGAAAATCCAACCTCAATGTCGGTTTATCTACTACAGTATTTATTTCTTCACTCCAACGACAATTAGGCTCATTTTCTTTCCCTTTGAAATATTTTTTGAAAAATTTTAATTATTTTTAATTACCTAAATTAACATTTGTAGCCAAAGAAGCACAACATTGGACAAGAAAACTTTGATCATTCAAAACAAATCCACTCATATAAGTACGTAAACCACGAAAAGCAGAATAATGGGAACTTTAAATAAATTATTTAAATTTATTTCACAAAAATAATTTTTAAAATTATTTTATAAAATCTTTAGAAAATATAATTTTCTCTCCAAAAATCACCTTAAAGTACACCCTCCCCCTCCACCTCCCCCTCCACCAACATCCCCATCTGCCTCTACCCATTCACATAAACCAACACATTCAAAAGGAACAAATTTAGCACATAAAGCCTTTCAAATAAAATTTTTTTTATAAATATTTAAATAAAAACTAAACAGATCCTCTTTCAACACTAAACAATTTAAGGCCTAAATTGCATTGAGGAAAAGCATTCAAATAATTTAAATTTGTAATTAATAAATAAAATATAAAAAATAAATTTTTGATTAAATATTGTTGAAAGACTTGTCTCTTAAAATTTAATTAAATATTTTTAAATAAATAATGGGAAATACTTACTAATAAATATTTATTATGTTGCATTTTAATTGAAAATTTTAAAAAAGGAGAAAGAGATCTGAATAGTAAAATTAATGTTGTTTAATTTATTTTTTTAATTTAATTTATTTTCATTTTATTTTTATTCTTGAATTTAAATTTACTAAAAATATCGAATTTAAATTGATAATTTGTAAAAATATTTAAACATTAGGGTTTGCGGAGGATCATTGGAAATCTCCGGATTTCCGGATTAATTAAGGTTAGTAAATAAATCAGAAATTATAAATTTTGAGAACATAAAAATTATTTAGTGAAATTACAATAAAGAAATATTTGTATGTGAATATTGGCAAAATTAAAGACAAACAACAAAGAATTTAGGTTTTTGTTAAAAATCGTCAAGTCTGGTTTCAAAATTTTCGGAAAGAAATATCTCAAAAGAAATCCCTCAAATTTTGCAAAAAAATGTTGAATAAAATAATTAATTTAAAAAAATAAAATTTTGTTTTAAAATAAAACCGATTAAATAAAAATTTAAAAATAGAAAGTTTTTCTTTAGTTTTTTCCCTTTTTTATAAAAACTTTGATCGACAACACTTCAAGTTTAAATATCTCTGTTGGAGAATTTTCTCTGACCTCTCTCAGAAAGAAAAAAAGAGATTTGCGTAGATTTTCCCTCTTTTTTGAATAAAGGGTTTAAATAAAAATTGTTTTTAAATAAAGTTGTAAATAGTTTTATTTAAAATTTTAAAATAAAACAAAAAAATGATTACAATAAATAGACTCTTATCTCTAGATATTGTAAGGCCAGCTAAATTTCCTCATCCTATCAAATAAAACAAAAATGAAAATGATCAAATTTTGGTGGCTTTGTTTGAGCGGTTAACAATCTTGTATTGGAGAGCTTTCAGAATCAAATCCCATCCAATTGTTTGCTATTTTCTTGGACGGATTGGTTCTCCTTACATATATAATAAAATAAATAAATATCAACGAAAGATTTTGCTAAAATTAAAAGTGAAAATGAAAAAAAAAGGAATAAATAAATAAACAAATAAATATTAATTTATTTGATTATTATTACCAAAAAAATCAAAAAAAAATTAAATATTTATATATCCGGAAAGAGGAGGATATTCTTGCTTGTTGATTCCTTCCCCTCTCTCTTTTTTGCTTGTTTGCGCAAATTTTAAAAATCAAACCAAAACAAACATTTTTTTGTTTTTATATAATTCAAATAATTCTCATCCTTAATAAAATGGCATGAAAAAAAAATAAAATTATTGGAAGATGAAAATAAAAAGAAAAATAAAAATATGTACAATTCTCGTTAAATTAAGCAGAAAATTTAAAATTGAAAATTAATAGGTATGTAGGTAATACATGAATATTTTATTTTCTTAATAAAATAAAAAACTTTATTTAAATAAATATTTTTTCTTTTATTATTAACGTTTAAATTTTCTTTTTAATTTAAATGAGAAAATAATTCTCTTTCAAGCTTTTACATATTTAAAGAAATCTGTTTATTTTTTGATTTACTTTTTTTTGAGAATAATTCCCAACAATTTTTATTTAAATTAATTAATTATAAAGAAATTTTAATTAATTTTAACGGAGGGGAACATGTAAAATAAATATTAAATATTTTCGTAGAGATTAAACAGTTAAAAACACAAAAAGCAAAATCGTCAGATTGGTATTTGAGAATAAATTTCAAAATAAAAGAAAGGAAACACTGGATATTTTGCTGTTTTTAAACCAGTTTTTAAATTTTTATTTTTCATCATATTTTCGGAAATGACTGGAAGGGGTGAGAAGATGGGCCGGGATTAAATTTAAGGAAAAAGGAATAAATTTTGTAAGAGGATGCGCAATCCGATAGAAAATGTGAGAAGAAAAAAGGAGTTAATTTTAGACTGAATGACGTTTAAAAATTAAATATAAATTAATTTTTTCAGAGAATTCTTATGAAAAAAAATAAAATTTGTTGTAAACACAAAAAAATTAAATTAAATATATAAAAATGATTTTTTTAGATTTAAGAAGTCAAATAGGTAGGGTGAGTCAAAAACCAGCAAAAACTAGCTACTGTTAAATTTTTAAAAACAAAATTGACATTAAAAAATAATAATTATTTATAGAAATATTTTCTACAATTTCGGTTCTGTTGTGAAAACTTTTTGATCCTTGATGTAACAATATAATTTTTCTATTTTTTGTCTAATTTTAAAATAAACAAAGTTGTACTTTTAAATTAAACAATGAATAAAAGATAAGCATGTTTTCTTTAACGACAGCCCAAATAAAAAATTCCGGAAAATTACTTAATTTAATTTATAGTTAATTTTGCCTTTTTTGATTACGCAAAAAAAACAAGCTTTTTATTAATGTTGACTTACTTAAGCTTATTATTTATTTACAAATCTTCACTCGACAATTTTTTTCAAATTATTTATATAAATGTCAAAATCTTACAGAAAAAGATATATTAAGTTGAAATTATAAAAAACTAGAGAATTTTGAAAAAATCACGGACAAGAAAAAGGAATCCTAGTTTAATAGGTACATCTCCGCTTTCGTCAATTCATGAAGGGAGAGTAAATAATCTGAACCACAGAAAGTTCTTGGATTTACTATCAAAAATTTTATAATTAAGTGTTAATTGAATTTATAAAAGAAACATTTAGGTGTACGTTTTCCCTATATTTACCCCATAACAATTCCAATAAGCGCTAAAAACATGGCCAAACAATTTTAATCTTAACGTCTTTGATTTTTTTAAATTTACATATAATTTATAAAATTTTGGCGTTTTGTGTTTGGCGTATTTCGAAAAATTTGAAAAACAATTCGAACAATTCAATCCTACTACAAGTTATACATGTGACAAACAATGTTAACTCAGTTTTCGGGTGTTGATAATATTTCGAATGCTAGGACAAGATACCGTGTCTCAGATTTTTCGATTAATATAAGATTTATTTATCTGCTCGGTCGAAAATCAAGAGGGATACTGTATCCTACTTTGAATCGGCTTCGTCTATAGGCGACACTGAATCATTACTTTGAAACGACCTTTACACGTTTTTTGTTGGCATTTTATATTTATTTTTTCAAATTTATTTAAGTTTTTTACAATTTTATTGGCTTAAGAACTAAAATTCCAAATATAAGAACAGCAACACTTAAAGAATGGACGACTTTAATAAAGAATTTTCTTTAACTACTTTAAAACACCAATTTGACGAGTCTGATTTGCATTCGATGAGTTTAGATCAGGGCTCTCATTCGTGCTTTATTTGAAAGTATTATACTTTGAAACCGACCTCCATACTTAAGAAATTGAATTTATACTTTATTGAAAGTATATACTTTGAAATCAACATTTTTGATTGAAAATGAAATTGGGGAAGGGATCGGGCAAAAAAGTGAATTTTTTTAGCCTAGGGCCTTCGAAATTCTCAAAATTTTCGCCTGCGGCGCTGAAAAAGAAAGAAATCTAGCTTCTTGGGCTCCAAATTTCAAAAAATTTTCGCCTGCGGCGCTGAAAAAGAAAGAAATCTAGCTTCTTGGGCTCCAAATTTCAAAAAATTTTCGCCTGCGGCGCTGAAAAAGAAAGAAATCTAGCTTCTTGGGCTCCAAATTTCAAAAAATTTTCGCCTGCGGCGCTGAAAAAGAAAGAAATCTAGCTTCTTGGGCTCCAAATTTCAAAAAATTTTCGCCTGCGGCGCTGAAAAAGAAAGAAATCTAGCTTCTTGGGCTCCAAATTTCAAAAAATTTTCGCCTGCGGCGCTGAAAATGAGAGAAATCCGGCTTCTAGAGCTCTAAAATTCTCAAAATTATCGCTGCGGCGCTGAAAATGGACGAAAGTAATTTGCTTGAGGTTAAGACTGTCAGGGCTTTATTTCTTGTATCAGCGAATTTTGACATGTCATGCGTTGAAATGCACAAAATGCTCAGTGGAAGCAAGAAATTATTAGAAAAGATTCATTTAAGAGAGAAATATAAAAGATTTGAGCACGCATAAATATTTTCCAATTTAATTTGGAGTATACTTTAAATTTGGAAATTTTCTCCCTATATACTTTTTTATCAAGATTTTGATACTTTTGAGTGGCATTTTGTCGATGAGAGCCCTGGTTTAGATGAATTAAGTAAATTTTTTTTTGAATTTTCTTTTAAAATTATTTTTATTTATTTTTAAGAAAATATGCGTCAAAAAGTTGAAGATAAAGTTCAAAACCTTCAAAGTGAACTGAGCGATCTTGCATTCCATAATTACCGAACTTATGTTGATGTTAGCACAACTGCTGAATATTGCCGAGAAAAGGTTTTTATTTTAAGTTTTGAATAGGAAAAAGTTTCTTACCCACATTTTTTGGAGACTTTAAGTGAAAATATTTTTTTTGGAAAACACAAGTCTTTAAAATTTATTTTTGCCAACAAATTAACTTTTAGTGTTAGAATCAAATATTTTTGTTTTAGTTTTCTCAAATGGACATTCTAATGCGACAGTCAAGTTCCTCTTTTCCAGCCCTTGAAGAACAAATTGATCAATTTAAAAATCAATCGACCCAATTATTTAATGAATTTAAACTTTTGAGTGACGTGGAGTCCACAAACTTTTTAATTTGGGAGATTATTAGACTTCCAAAGGTTTTGATTAAATTTATTTAAAATTATATTTATTTTTTAGTTAATGGAAAAATGTATTCGTGCTGGACATTTTGACCAAGCTTATTCAATTACAAATTTTGCTTTGTCGATTAAACAATCCAAACTTGTTCAATATCCTTTGTTTAAGGTTTTTTATTTTCTGATACTTTTTTTTTTAATTTTTTTAGAATGTTGTCGATTATTTACTTGAGGCACGACATAGTCTGTTGGATGAACTTTTTAACAAATTTTCTGGCCCTCTCAACTTAGCAAATAGTATTCAGGTTTTTTTAAATAATTTTTGGATTAATTTAAATATTTTTTAGATAATAAATAATATAAGAAAGATTCCTTACATTTCCAAAACTCAATTACGTATTTCAATTCTTCAATATAGAGATATTTATTTGGAAAAGAAAGTTTCTTCTATTATGGTAATTTTCTTTAAAGTTGAAATCATTTTTATGATTAATAATACAAATCTTAAATGTTTTTTGTGGCATCGCAACAAAAATTAATTTTCTTTTGCTTTTATTAAAATGGGTAAACATAAGTGCTCCCTTCATTTTAAATTTTATACCTTTCTGACAATCATTCTAACTAATTAATATAAATTTTTATATTTTAGTCTGAACCAGATTTTATTTTGCGAGTTATCGAAGTATATAGAGAATGTATGTATGACACAATAATCCTTTATTTGGCTGTTTTTCCAGAAACGGACACTCAACAACGATTTGTATTTTTAAAATTAATAATCTTTTGATTAAATATTTTAAAGGTAAATGAAGATACTCGTTGGGAAAGATGGACAGGAAGTTCACAAAATTATTTACTTCAATGTTGGGCTCAAAAAAATATTGAAAGATTGTTAAATTATGTCCAATGTTTTGATTATACTTCTTTGCTGGATATTGAAATGGTTGTTTCGAAGGTTGGAATGTTTAAAAAAATATATTTGGAAATAATTGTTTAGTTGATGAGCTGTGCTTTTTCTTTTGGTCGAATGGGACTTGATTTCCGTTCTTTAATTCATTACAAATTTTCGCAAATGGTTCTTAATATTTTTCAAAATAAAATAGAAGCGGCAACAAAAAGGTTGGTTGTTTTAATTTTTTGGCTTTCAGATGTATTTAATTGTGATTTGGGGTTGTTACTTGAAAAAATGATTATTCTTCTGCTGAAAATTTTACATGTTTCCTTCTAACATTTTTGGAAGAAATTATTTTTAGAAATACCAAATCATCATTTTTTGAATATTTTAATAATCTCTTCACAATTACTAATTCGCTTTATTTTTAGTTTTACTTCAAAGGAGAAAATTGATCTTATTGATGATGGAATTTTTGAGAACACTCAATCCGAATTAAAAAAAGAAATTAATCGTGTTGATTTATCAGCTCCTTTAGAATTATGTATTTGGGATGAATTGTGTATTTTTGGGAATTCTATAATTAATGCATTAAATGAAATTAGACATTCTATTTATATTAATTCGGTTTATTTTTTTAATTTTTTATTCGGATTTTTAATTTTAATTCAGATTCGTCGTGTTTTCAATATTTTACATTTTTCTTTTCAAAATATTTTTGCTTGGTTGGACTCTTTCCTTTCAAATCAAGAAAATATTTTTATTGTCAAAAAGGCTACTTTTCTTTTAATTAAACAATTTTTGCCTTTCATAAATTGTTGCTTCTTTTCTTGTTTTCCTTATGAACAATGTGCTAAAAAATATTTTATTACTGGAAATTGTTCTTTGAATGAATATGTAAGGAAATTATAATTTTTTAAATTTATTTTTTTAGAAAAATACTTTTAATTTTGTGAATTCTAATATTTTTGGTTTATGTAAAAATGAATCTTTATTTTGTGAAATAATAAAAGAATTTGATTTGAAAGAAAATGAAGAACGAAATATTTTAATTGAGGAGGAATCGATTAATACAAAGAATGAAGGAACTGACGAACGTTTAGAAATTGAGGGGGAAGAGAAGGAAGAAAATAAAGAAATTCTAAAAATTGAAGGCGAGAAGGAAGAAGGAAATGAAGAAATTTTAGAAATTGAAGGGGAAAAGAAGGAAGAAAATAATGAACTTTTAGGGATTGAAGAGGAAGAGAAAGAAGAAAATTTGCTAGAAAATATTGAGTGATATGTAGATTTTCACTTTTGATAATGACTGTGATAAATTAAATAATTATTTTGATTTATTTTTATAACTAGCGGAGAGGCTCGCCCGAAGGCTGTACCCTTATTATATTCATTTTTATAATTAATGTATTTCCATTTTCTAATGTTTTTATAGAATGTCTTTAGCAACTAAACTGCGTCGTATTAGAAAGAAACCTCCAGAGGGATGGGATTTGATCGAACCAACACTTGAAGAATTCGAAGCAAAAATGCGTGAAGCAGAGACGGAACCACATGAGGTTATTTTTTAGATGAATTAAATAGATAAAAGTTTAATTTTAGGGCAAAAGACGAACAGAAACTGTTTGGCCTGTTTTTAGAGTTTGTTTTTAATTTAAAATAATTCTATATGTTTGTAAAATTAAAGATTCATCATCAACGTTCAAGATATATTTTTAATTTATTTTATAAAGAAGAAAAAATATCAAAAGAACTTTACCAATTTTGTATTGATGCAAAACTTGTTGATGCTCTCTTGGCTGCAAAATGGAAAAAACAAGGATTTGAGAATCTGTGTTGTTTAAGATGTATTCAGACGAGAGATACCAATTTTGGGACAAATTGTATATGTCGAGTTCCAAAATCTAAACTTGACGCGGTTTGAAATTTGTTTTATTTTTTTATTTAAAATACTCTTTTTAGGATCGAGTTATTGAATGTATACATTGTGGATGCCGTGGATGTTCTGGATGAACGAGATTCGATTCTTTTTCGATTTGGTTTTATTTTTTTAATGTAATTCAATTTTTTCTAAAAATAAATTTTTCGTTTTTTAAATTTACAAAATCTTTATGTGTTATTTACAAGTATTTAAAATAATTCAAAATAAATAATTTGTTTTTTAAACTTTTCTTTGACATTTTTCTGTTTAACTAATAATTTCTGAATACATTGAAAATGCCAGATTGGGATCATTTCTTTGCATCACTTCGCAAATACTTGGACTATTTTCGATCTCATATTCAACTAATACCAACAATAAATGGTTTTGTAGGTGATTTGCAATCAATTTCTGATGGTGAACTTTCTGGGCTTTTATCTTGGACTAAATTGGCTACTGCAATATCTCTTAAGGTTTGAGCTTTTAGCTATTTGCTTTCTTCCTTTGGACTTCAACTTATTAGGATCCGGATTCACGACGCCAATTTTGTCAAGATAAGGGATGGAGCGTCATTGAATCATCAGTTGGTCTTCTCGCCAGCCCCGTGCCTTTAGTATTCAAAGGATGCCTTTGCAATTTTCTTGCTGCCCTTGCAATTGATGAAATGGCTGCTGTAAACATATGGAACTGTTTACTTTGCGAATTTATTTGTTCTAAACAAATTGGTGGAAAATCTATTGGAATTCAAGTTTATTTTATAATTTTTTTTTTAATTTTATATATATTTGTAGCAAGATTTGGATTCTCGAGAGGCTCATCTAAAAATTTATGATTATTCTCAGGGATTTTTAACTCTAATGAAAGAATTGCTTTCACACAAGGCTCGCCCAAGTACCCAACAAATTGCTCCATTTATTCATTTTATTGTCAATTCAATTCTTTGTCAATTCTCTACTCGTTCATACAGCAATATAACTCAAATGGTAATTATTTAAAATAATCGAATTGACTAATTTAAAATACCGTTACCCTTTCTTTGTTCCTAATACTATAAATGGCTTTTTACTTTTTTGAGTTTTTAAGAAGAAAATCTTTGATCCTTTCATTCATACTTATCTAAAATGGAATCACTTATATAAGTATCTTAATTTATTAAAAATTTTAGTGGATGTTGGTCAAACTTGCCCTTGACTGTTTATATCAACCATTAAAGACTTTCTTTGTAACAGCAGTCACTGTTGACAATAAAGTTTTTGAAGTACAAATATTATGTCAATTATTGAGTGATAGTCCATTATCTAGAGCGGTAGGGGATTTAATTTGAATATTTTTTAAACCATTTTTTATTTTTTAAGTTACTTCAAATAATTGCCGAAGGAGGTTGTCAACTTCAAGAGAATAAATTTTCTCATTTCCCTGCTAGAGAAGATGCAACATGTTCCGCTATTCGATTACTTTATGTTGCCATATCAAATCGTTCAGCATTATCTGATGCTATTAGAGCTGTAAATTGTGATATTTTAATTGCTACAATTGAATCTATTTTATTTTCACCATTTCCATATTCGCAACAAAAAATTGACAATTGTTATATGAGTTTACTTTTTAATTATATCAACGAGGTTTTTTTCTAAAATTGAAAAAAAAATTATTTTATTTTTTTAAAGATTGATTCTTTTATAAGACATGCTTTTTTTGTTTGGTTAATAATTAAAGAAGCAACAGCCCAACGTCCATCTCTACAATCACACATTGTTCAATCACTTTTACCTCGACGTCAAAAATTAATAAATTGTGTGGCAACTTTGTCAATATTTTCTTTGGAAGATATTTTTGTTGGAATTAATGATTTGGCTTTAATTGATATTGAAGGGATATCTTATGGAAGGTTAAAAGGAGAAGTATGTCGACTAATGTTAGAAGTATTCAATGATGCTATGCAATATAATTCTAATTCTCCAAATATTACTTATGCATTGATGAATTTTGATTTGATGAATATTTCTGCTACAATTCTTGATTTACCAGGTCTTTTGAAAGGGAATTTTTTTTTGTTGTAGATATTTTTCATGGCTACTATTTTATATTTATAAATCTTGTTTTTAATTTTTTCTTTAGGGCAAGGATCCACTTGTTTGCACAATATTTTGGACATAGTCCTACAGCTGAAAACTTCTGATTCACCTCTTTCGACTCATTTTTCTGGACTTTATGAACCTGCTTTGCGTCTTATTGTAATTACCTTTTAATTTAAAAACTATTTCAATTTTAATATTTATAGCTTCGTTTATGTTCTCTTGGATCATCTAGCTCTTCAATTGTTCTCAGATTTCTCAGATCTCATTATGATCTCATTTATCAATTGGCTCAATCGAAAGTTTTCAAATGTTTGACTTCAACTAATTCAAATGATGCAACCCCAACTGAAAGTTTTGAGAATGAGTCTTCTTGTTGGAGGAGGGAAAATGATGAATATGCACTAGCAACAATACAACGTTCTCTTCAGGTTTTTATTTATGAGTTCTTAGCTCATTAAAACAAAAGACAACATTCTTTGTTTATTAAAAATAGATGCGTCTTTTTGAACTTACATTTTTAATTTTCTAGAGTATAATTTTGGAATTGATCGCTTTGGATCTTTCTTCGCTTCTCCGATCTGGCTTAATAGAACATCCACATAAATATTTACGTTTACTCTTTTCTACACCATCAGATCAAAATTCACAATCATTACAATCTTCTAATCTTTTTTCTTCAAATATTGAAGGCCAAAACGGTTAATTTTTGTTTTTTCTATTTATTTAGAATATTTTTAGTTCTTTTTTGGTCACTTTTGGAATCAAGTCGTATATTTGTTGGTGATCTTTCTCCTCCAATTTGTAACAAATTTGATCCAAATAAAATGGAAGAAGTTAATTTTTTTTAATTTTTTATGAAAATGTTTTTCTCTTTTTTAAGTTACTTTCTCTTTGTATTCGAAAAAATTCTTGTAATATTGAGCAATTCGATGTTGTTTATCTTCAACTTTTGTTAAATAGTGAAATTAATTGTATAATGAATACAGAAATTGATGTTATTAGAGAGGTTAGTTTGAAATATTTATTTTTAATTAAATATAATTTTTATTTATTATTTAAGGAAGCTCGATCAATTTTGCATTTTTGTGTCAAGAAAAATGCTTTAAATCTTTTGGAAGGTTCATGTACGCATTTGCTTGAAGGATGGCTTTCAGTAATGAATGTTTTGTCTGTACATGTTCCTCTACCTTTCATTAATATTTGTAAGCTATTTTTTGGAGTAATGCGAACAGATCAACTTAGGCACTAGATTTAACATATTAAATTTATCTTTCTAATACATAAATGTTGAAAACAAACAATAAGGTGATACTTGAGTTACTCGTGAATATTTTTTCTATTAGTTTCTCTTCTTATTATTTTTTTATTTAGCTACACATAAACATATTCTGGTTGATGCACTCTTTCTTTTGCGTGATTATTGCCGTTTAGTTGAAATGAGTCCAGAACTAGCCGCTTCTGTTGCAACATGTTTTTCAAGAATAGTTTCTTCAGTTTGTAGTATGTTTGCAAAATATGAAGACATGCAAAAAGCCAAAAGTGCAATTTTGCCTGTTTTGCATTTACTTCTTCAATGTATTGTTTTATCTGGTTTGTAGGATTTTAAAATTTTTATAATTTATTTTTTTTTCTTTTTAAGGTTATTCTAAATCATTTACATTTAAACGTGAACTTTATATTTGCTGTTTGCGTGTTTTAGATTTATTTTGCAATTTTAAAGGAGAAAAAACTCAGAGATCTGAAATATCCAGTGGAACAACCAATTTACCGTTGAAAAATGATGACCTTCTAACTTTGCTTCTTTTTAATAAACTTGGCCAGGAAGAGATCGAAGTCACGGGAAACACAAATGATCAAACAGTTAAAATGATGCAAAATCAACGAATAATTAGTGATTTATGGATGAAATTAATTGAACCTTTAAAATGTGAAATAATTCAAACGTTTACTTCTGATGTTATTTTTGGACCACTTTCTCTTAAGGTTTTGTGTTTTTTTGGAAGAGACTGATTTATAAAAATATTTTCGGGAATTAGAGCTGTTGAGTAGGGGGGAGCAGTCAATTACTTTTTAAACTTATTTTTAATATTACCTTTTTAGATGTTAGCAGCAGCAACTTTTGTTGATTTATTACGTGAGGACAGCAAATTTTGTGGGCGTATTATAAAAGAATTTATTTTCGATGGTTCTTTGCAGTGTGTAAATGATTTATCTAAACGATTTGAAGACAATTTAAAAAATCCAGTCAAAGGATTAGTTGAAGACGAAAATAACAG